CTTGCGTGAATTAAGAGATTAATTATTTTCCTACCCATTATGCATTTCGAACTTTTAAACATGAGCTCTCTGGTTCTTCAAATAGCTAGATATGAATACCATTCAAATTTTATGGGTTGATTATTGTAGCACTATAGCACTGTCCTCCAGTTGTTCATCGAGCGGCACCAGTAATGTCTCCATTGTGAGACGTGTTGTTACTGTTTTTGGCATATCGAATCCACCATGGGGAGCTTGATAGGCTCTGCTGTGCGGGCAGGATACTCTCAGTAGATTGCCGGGCCCTCTGAGAAGGACAGAGGAATTGAACCCAGTCAGCCCAATGCAAGGCAAACGCCCTACCCCCTGTGTTATTGTTCCAGCCCAGGATTGATTATTATTGTTATTTATTTATAGAAACGTTACCTTTACTATACTTGATGCTCACTATGATAATTTTTATACTTTAACATTTCTGTCACTGAACACTTTTAATTCTTATCGTATTGATACCTTAATGGGCTGGAGCATTAGCACAAATTGTAGGGTGTTTGCCTTGCACACAGCCAATGCAAACAACCTAGGTTTGATTCCTCCGCCCATCTCTGAGAGCCCAGCAAGCTACTGAGAGTGTCTCGGCCGCAGAACAAAGCCTGGCAAGCTACCCTTACACATTCAATATGCCAAATACAGTAACTACTATCACAATGGAGACTTTACTGGGCCCGCTCCAGCAATATCGATGAAAAATGGGATGACAGTGACAGTGACCTTAATGGGAATGTGTTCTTTCTAATAAAATTATTGAACAAAAAAAAAACCCTGTGAGTGATGTAATAAAGAGTCAAAAAAGCAAAAATATAAAAATACACCAGATAATTATCCTGGAAGAATCAAGTTTTCTCAGCAGGACATTACACCACTGATATACCATTAGCAACCTGAAACTTTGCCATTTGGACCTGAAAAAGGTTCCAGAGGAAATAGATTGAGACATTTTTACATCAAGCCTCTTTCAATGTCAAGTTTAGTACACAATTTCACAAACAGAAATTATATCAGAGACTTGTTGTAAGGTCAGATAGATTGCTTTAGACTTTTAGAATTGTCATCTTTGTATTTCAAGTGTTAATTACCTATAACATACTCCTTAATTTTTTTAGAGAAGGTGCAGTTTAAAAATACCGCTGGGCCCTGAGCTTTAGTACAATGGGTAGGGCATTTGCTTTGCTTGTGGACAAATTCTTTTTCTCCATCTTTTGGTATGGTCATTTAGATTTTATATTTTCTTTTATTGATATGGAGTACTATGTTTACTGGCTTGCAAATGGCAAATCATCTTTGCATCCCCGGAATGAATGCTACTTGGTCGTGGTGCATGATTTTTTTCCCCATGAGTTGTTGTATTCTCTCCAATAGTATTTTGTTGAGAATCTTTGCATCTGTGTTCATCAGGATTATAGTTCTGTAACTTTCGTTTTTGTGGTGTTTCTGTCTGCCTTGGGTGTCAGGGGGATGTTTGTCTCATAGAAACCCTTTGGGAGTGTTTCTATTTCTTCACTTTTCAGAAAATGCTTGAAAAGAATTGGCAGTATTCTTTTGGGGTAACTATTTTGGGGGTTGATAAGAATTCACTAACAAATCCATCTGGGCCTGGAGTTTTGTTTGGGGGAAGACATTTCATTACCATTTCAATTCCTCAATAATTATAGGCCTATTACAGTAATCCATATCTTTTGTGTTATGGGAATCCAGCCTTAGGAGGTTATAGGAATCCAAGAATTTATCCATTTCTTCAAGGCATAAAGGTTTTCAAAGTAATCTTTGATGATCCTAAGGATAACTGTACTTTCTAATGTAATGCCCTCCTTTTTTTTCTTATTCAATCACTTATATTTATTATTAGAGTAAATTAATAATTATTAGTAATTAGTAAATTATTAGAGTTCTCGGTTTATCTACACTCCTCTCTCTTGTTTTAAGTCTTTCTATTTCTTAATTGATTTTTTTATTTTCTCAAAGAATCAGCTCTTGGTTTCATTGATCTTTCAGGATATTCCAACTGTTTTTTTACTCTATGCCACCACTGTCTTTGTCTTCAGAGAGTTGAATCTGATGAGTCTGTGATAATTCTTAAGGATGCTCCTTGTAAGTAATTTTCGTCTTTGATCTTGCTGCTTTGGGTATTGTTGGTATCTTTATCTGTAGTTTTTTTCATTCTGATTAGGATGTGTTTTCCCGTAGTTTTATTAGGATTTCTTTTAGCTGGTATACTTAGGGCATTGGCACTACATTTCTGGCTTTGCTCTAGAGTCTTCTACCATACCTGGATACTCCTATATCTGGTCTTAAATCTTCAAACTGATATATGTAGATGCATTGTAACTTTTTCTGTGATAGCTTAAACCTAGGAGAATGATGTTTTGTTCTTTCTTTTTTTTCCCTGAGACTTTCTGTCTAAGAAATATTTCAGGTCATTTCTTCAAAGAGTAAAAGCAAATAAGAATAGAAAGGTATCATGGATTGCTGTCGACCCAAGCTTCCTCACTTACCTCCCTGACTTGTCTGTGCTTCCTACATTGTGCTACTTTGTTTTCCTTGAGAGAAAAGGGAGTAAGAGAAGGGAGGACCCCAGTCCACACAGGAGAGCCACGATGCCATCTTTCCAAGTAAAATAAAATGGTGAGCATCTTCCCTCCAATGAGATAGATGAGCAATTGTTTCTTTCTTCCTAGACAGTTGTTGGCTCCCTGGAGGAGGCTCCCCACCTCTTAGTTGTGTCCTAGACTGGCACACCCATCCGTGGCAACACTGTTCTCTTCATGCCCTTTCCGAGCAGAAGCAGTTACTTCCTTCTTCTATCAGAACTTTTCTCTCAGATACTACCTTTTCTGTTTATGCTTACCTTTATCGTCTTTTAAGAGACACCGCAGGTTTTGTCTCAGTTTCGAAAACCTGGTTCCTAAGATAATTCATAAAGCCGAAGCCAGCCTAGTTGCAGGGAGAGCATGGCATAGCCCCTCCTAGTCATAACGATAGGAAAGAGCACCCTTATGAACTAGAGTGTAGGCAAAGAAACAGACTGAGTTGTTTCGAGTCTTTCATTTATGAATAGTTTGTGTCAGGTCTGAAGTTTATGAATAAGCTATGCATGAACAAATCAAATGGGTATAATCGAAGGATTTTAGAACTGAACAATGGTGAACTCCGTCCAAGTTATACCCATATGTGCTACAGATAGATCAAACTTACAATACAATGTGGTTCATATATTCTTTTCCTTTGCCAATCCCCTCTTTGTTGCTGTCTGCTGGAGCAGGGGCTGTAGAGTTTAGTTAGACTAAAGGAGTGACTGGGAGTGAGGGCTGCTGATTTGTGTTTCTGTGTCTTGGTCCGTGCCTTCCTTTTGAAGGGCCAAATTGGCAGACACTTGTCTGCACAACGCTTCATGGAGGCAGGTCCCATTTCAGGTGGTAACCTGGAGAGGGTTGCTCAGAACTCTTTTTCTATTGTCCCTTTGGTGCGGTGCAGCCCAGGCAGAGCTCCCAGCATTCTCCAGGTGGGCTTGATCAGGGTCAGGGGCTAGTGCTACCACGCTGGGCTTTGCTTCTCCTCTTCAGACACCTTGATGCACCTGTTGTCTGGTTTTCCCATCCTGAACACAGCCTTCTCACGCTTCTCTGTAGGGAGAAGCATGGATCACCCTTGCTGATGCCGTCTGTGTTGCAGGTGAGGCCTGAGCTCAAGCCCCAAGTGATGACTCTCCTCAATATTCGGGGTCTTAGAGCCAATCAGTGGGGAACAGAACAAGAAACTTTTCATCCAGATAGTCTCTTCTTCATCTGGAGATTCCTCACTGGCCAGGCTGACTGATTAAAGTACAGCTTTTGTAAAAAGATAATCATGATTTAGGGAGTTATGGAGCCCTAAGGATACGAGAGCAATTTAAGCTTTATTTTAAATGTTGTGATTTTGCTAAATGAGCTTGTGTTAGGTGGAATCCTGAGTAGGGTGTGGACCATGAACCAACTTCATTAGAGAAGTGGACTCTGTAAACGTGGCGGTACGGGTGCTGGAACAGTTGGATGGGTAAGTGGACGTATTAAGACAGGCAGAGGAAACACCCTGGCAGATCCTGGGAAAACGCCTTTACAGGGCTGTAGGGGTGGAACACTTTGCTGATTTCTGGATTATGGGCAGTTGAAAACAAAAGCAATGGGGGTTTTGGTTTTTTTGTGGTGTGCTTTATCGAAGAGGCCAGCTGGGGAAGCAACTCAGAAGCAGGAGTCTTCATAGCTAGGGTCCTAGAAAGTCACATGCAGAACTTTTTACTAGGACATTTACTTTGGAAAGAAAGGGTCTTGTTAGTTCAGTGCACGTGCTGTGCCCCTTAGAACACAGATGAGGCATTGGTCCAAAATGGTTTGTTGAAGCTCTCAACATCCCATTTCATTCATTTTTTCTTCCTTTGTTTTTTGGTCACAACTAATAAAGCTTGAGGGTTGTTCCCAGCCCAGAGTAAACTAAATATCTGTTACCTCTCAGGGCTTTGGAGAATACCACAGGACTCTGTTTCACAGAACAATGGAAATACAGGTGAGGTCATCTAAGAAGAACTTACTGGGGTAAAGATGTCAGTCTGTAATTGATGAAGAAAATACAGCACAGATTTGAACAAGGCATAAAACTCCAAGTCCAGCCCTGACATTTATAAACCTTAATGATAAATTTTTAAGAGACGAAGTGTAAATCCATGTTTCTATTTAAAATCCAAGGTCATTATGCAAAATACAATTCAATTTTATAACATCATGTCAGAATTCTGAGAAAATGCCAAGGAGTGATTAATGAGTACACAAAGTCCCTGTTCCACATATCATAAACAAGCCCTGAGCAGAGTGCATCTATATGCCGACTAGCTGTGGGCATTATTGTCACCACCTATTCCAGAAGGTCAAGAGGGGCTCTGGTTGAACAAGAAAGGCAAGTCATCATTGCAATAAATAAAGCATGGCTGCAGATCAGAAGAAGTACTCTTTCTGGCTTTCAGTGACTAAACTTTGCAGGTTGGGCTCACTTTTCAGAGCAGTCTCAGCATTGTCTCCATTCGGAGGAATTTTTGTCTCATTTTTCTGATGTAACCATCTCTGTTGGTAAATACATATTACTATGCCAGTGAGGCAGATCAAGATAAATATCACAACTGCTATCACTCCTAGAAAGAGAAGAATGTTAAAAATATAAATTCGGAACCTACATTTTAAAAATCAAATAGACTGCCTTAATATAATTTATATCAAAGTGCATATATCTATATAATAATTTCTATGAGCATATATATCCATAAACAAAGTCATATAAAACTAAGTTCACTTGTAAATCCATACAACTTTTAGATGTATCTAAAGTTTTAAACCTTTATCCAAAAGACATATAATTATTGAATTTATACTAATTTATACTAATGCCTTCACCCTTAGATACAAAAGTGTGACTTTTTAGAGAAGGCTCATTCTTCGTGCTAACAAGCAAGCAGGCATTGGTTATTTTAAAAGTAAAGGTAAAGGTAAAGGCCCTCCCATTGTTCGTCGATTTGCTCGAGCGGGCCCAGTAACGTCTCCATTGCAGACTTTGTTGTTACTGTGTCTGGCATATCGAATACTCCCGGTAGCTTGCCGGGCTCTCCGAGAGGGGTGGAGGAATCAAACTCGGGTCTGCCATGTTGGCTGCATGCAAGGCAAATGCCTTACCGCTGTGCTATCGCTCCAGTATGATGTGAATAAAGGTAAAAAAGGTAAAGGGCTGGAGCGATAGCACAGCGGTAGGGCGTTTGCCTTGCATGCAGCCAACATGGCCGACCCGAGTTCGATTCCTCTGCCCCTCTCGGAGAGCCCGGCAAGCTAACGAGTGTATCTCGCCCGCAGGGCAGAACCTGGCAAGCTCCCCATGACGTATTCGATATGCCAAACACAGTAACAACAAAGTTTCCAATGGAGACGTTACTGGGCCCGCTCAAGCAAATGATGTAAATATTCTCATAATATTCTCATAATAGTACTGCTGTACTATTGGAACTGCTGTAGTATAACATGTGTATCTTGTATCTGTATGAGGCCAAGGGGTGTCTTAATGGATCTGTATCCATGGAGACCAATATTTTTCTCCCCTTCTATTGCTTATATGCAGGGCTTATGTCTTGTCTCTAATGAATAAAATATAGCACATAAGAAATATACTTCATTATATGTACAGGAGCAATAGCACAGCGGTAGGGCGTTTGCCTTGCACGCGGCCAACATGGCCGACCTGAGTTCGATTTCTCCGCCCCCTCAGAGAGCCCGGCAAGCTACTGAGAGTATCTCGCCCGCATGGCAGAGCATGGCAAGCTCCCTGTGATGTATTCAATATGCCAAACACAGTAACAACAAAGTCTCCAATGGAGATGTTACTGGGCCAGTTCGAGCAAATCGATGAACAACGGGAGGACCGTGACAGTGACAGTGACTACCAGATACATTAACATGGTGTTCTAGCATTGTCTCACTGGAGACTCTCCTTCTGAAGACTGATAGGTGGCAAATATTCATGCTGGGAGAAAGGATGTGGCAAGGAGAGGCTGAAAGATTCGGAGTGCCAAATGCAAGCTCTTGACAGCAGCCAGAAATAAAATCTAGATTTTAAAATCTTGATTTGTTCAGCCTTCTAACTTTATGATACTTAATGCTGTCACTGACCAGAAGATTCAGCTAAACTATGACCAAATTCCTAGTCAACAGAAAATGTGATATAATAAATGTGGGTTGCATTACATAGTTAGAAGGGTAAAAATTCATCATACATCAACAGATAATAGATAATATGATAGTCTATTTGCAGAAATATTGATAGTTATATGTTAATTATTTGACATATCTTAATGGAAATGTTTTTAAGAATTGAAAATCTTGGCTATGATAATGATTCTCAATATTAAATTGCACAGCAGAGTAAGAATTTTGGGGTGGAATTCCTGGATAGAAGTATTATTTTTAAAAAATCACTTATAACTGCATTAGTGATATTAAAATTTCCATGCTATTAACATTAAACTGCTAACTGAAAATGTCATATTGGTATAGAACAGATATTCAATCTATATAAAATCAAGATATAAAAAAGCTCTAGTCAATATACTTTTATGAGACTTGATAGTAATCATAGTCTCTGAGTCTTGGCCGCTGATGGGATTACACGGCCAAGACTCAGAGACTATAAAATCCAGATCCCGGACGAGAACATCTTATTATCTCATTCCTACTTTGGACAAACTTGCAGGCTATCGAATGTAGCCTGCCCACAGGGCAGAGTCTGGCAAACTCCCCGTGGTCTACCAAATATGCCAAATACCAGTAACAATGATGGGTCTCATTCTCCTAAAGAGCCGTGAATATAATCTCAGGGCTAGGATGAAAGAGACGTTACTGGGGCCTGCTCGAGGCAATCGACGATTAACAGGACGATGAAAAAATGATAGTAATCATAGGTTAATGACATAATACTATAAAATATGTTACTGCTTAACTACATGATTCAAAATTTATATTATATACTTAGTTTCTTTAGTATATTATCCTAAAATAGTAAATGGTAATGTAATAATAGACTTCAATGTAAGTGGAATACAACAGACCCAAAGTTCTTTGGGTGAAGTTTGGGTAGACTATGTTTTAGGTAAACTCCATTTAAATGGAGATACTGCAGTGTTATTTAAAAAAAACAATAACAATTATAAGATTCCTTGATTATACACTTGTCACCATACACTAAAACATCTAGGATTTTATGTATATGATTGACTACTTTTCTTGTTTTGAGGATACAACCAATGGTGCTCAGGGCTTACTTTGACTCTGTGTTTAGGGATAACTATTGGCAGTGCTTGAGGGCCCATTTGGGATGCCAAGGATCAAATTCAGGTCAGCCATGAACAATGCAAACATCCTATCTGCTGTTCTGTCTCTCTGGCCGTGGTTGATCAGTTTGTTTGTTTTGTGAGGTTAAATAGGATTCTAAAATAACCTTTCTTCATTCACTAGCTGGAAAGGATGAGATAATTGGCAAAATGCATCTGATTCCCTCCATTATCTTCCTATCAGCAACTCCAGTGTAATGTGCTTTTGACAAGTTTATTTGCCCATATACAATATTAGTAAACCTTTGTGATCTTTGATTTACCAGGTTTGAAGATAGTTAAAGCTAATCCTTCTTTCCTGTAACATTTTATTTTCTATACCATTCTTCCCTTTCAATGAGAGAAAACAATAAAGTGCAAAATGTAGAAAAATCCACTCACTGATAACATCCCTTAAGCATTAAGTGGAATCTATTAGCAATTACACAAATACTTGGATTTCACAAGTAAATGATCTCAGTAGCCAAGACACTAGGGAACAATCCCTGACTCCACTGCACAGATGTGTGGCAGATAGCAAGAGGACCCAGGAATAGTGATCTGGGTTGTTACATTCTCAAGAGCTTCCTTGATCTCATTCTTCATTCCGTCTGTCAAGATACAAGTAGGATTCCTCAGGGAAACAACACTGGTGAGACTTAATGTTTCATATCCAGCCAATGATATTTGGATAAAAGCAATGAAGTTCTAGGGACCATGTCTTTTGTTCTATCATACATTTGACTACTATCTGTGTTCTTCCTAGTAAGTGGGTACCAAATTTGAGGATATTGTGCAATTTTATCATCATGGATTACTATTCTGAAGATACAAATCACATTGTCTTAAATTGGCTTTTACATTATAGTTGAGTCATTTCTTTACAAATAAACTAGAGGTTCAGAGAGATAATGCAGTAGGTAGGGCACTTGCCTGCACATAGCCAAACCAGATTTGAATCCCACATTTCCATATAGTCTCCTGAGCCCTGCCAAGAACGATCCCAGAGTTTGGAGCCAGGAATTCATCCTCAGCACTGCTGTGTGACCCCAAAAACCAAATGAAAAAGTAAACAATGTTTCAAGGTTTAATTCAGATTTTAACATGAAAGGAATCCCTTTAAGTGTACATTATAAGTAAGATACTTTTTATTCTTAGAATTATGTAATTGGGATTCCATACTACACTCACTGCAAAAAATAAAAGATTTTGATATAGGAATCAAAACATGAGCATTCCAGCCTATATTTGCTAACACATTAAAAAAAAAAGTCTGAATACTATGCCAATTTTGGGGAAAATATTGGTGTCCAGAAGAAAGTAAGCAAAATGAGGAGATCCATTCTGAGCTGGTGTCCAGTCTGGCTAAACAGTGGGCACCCAGCCAGATGACCCAGCCTGGGCGCAATTTTCTTACTGTGGACAGCTATCAAATGGAGAACAATTTACTTCCTACTCACCAGAGTTTATAAGGAACTAGCATTTCAGTAATGTCCTTAAAAGAGTGTATGTGTTCTTTATATGGTAAGTAGGGATAATTGAAGGAAAATTGAATATTTATTTTTCAGACCGGAGAAAAGTCTATTTCAAGAACATATTTATATATTTACATTGAGTTTTTACTTCTTCAAATATACATAACCTAATATAAAATTAATCCAGGACAATATATTTATATGTACTATATGTATGCATGTGAGATATCAAACCCAGCTGAAAAGGAATTACAGGTGGGGCCAGTCCCACAATCCTAGTGATTCTTGCTGCATTGGTGAGGGCCAACCAGCTTTTTGCTTTCCGCCTGTAGCCACCAAACCACACCCTTGCGATCAGCAAAGAGTATAGAATGCAAGGCCATGCCTATGCCAGGAATAACCACCTGAGCTACATTCCTGGTCCTAGTTACGTATTTTCACACTTAAGAAAATTACTACTTGGGGCCTGAGTGATAGTACGGTGAGTAGGGTATTTGTCTTACATTTGGCTTTCCTATGTTTGATCCTCAGCATCCCATTTGGTCCCCTGAATACTGCCAGAGTAATTTGTGAGTGGAGAGCCAGGAGTAATCCCTGAGCATCATCAGGTGTGACCCAAAAAAAACAAAAAAGAAAGAAAATTGCTGCTCGCATAGTTTAGCTCTTTGTCTTGATATATACTTTAGTTTTAATCTAATTTCAAAATGTTTTAGGTCAATAGACTGAGCTGTGTAAGACTCTATGTCAAATCAAACAAATAAAAATAAATACCTCTTAAATAAATACATGCTGAGAAATATTTAAATATAAATGGCAACTTGCAAATGCAACTATGCTCCTTAGTTTAGTGTCTTTCAGCTATCCTTCATTAGGATCTTCAGGTGAAGGCAAGGCCGAGGGCCTCTGATACACCAGTGATGCAGAGAAGTGGTATTGCTCTATAGACAAACGACACACCCAACGAGTCTGAAAACATGAGATCCAAACTACAACAACCCGACCTAACAATGTGCCTGGCAAGGAGGCCATCTGTAGGTAACCTGGGGACACTGGTGAGGGAAGGGGATTCTGGTGGGGGCATGGGGATAGGGCCATGCTGGAACCCTGCTTGTCTAAAAATCAACTATGAATATCTTTGGAAACCGTGTCATTTTAACACAATCTTTAAAAAAGAAAGATTTCCTTCTTCTAGCATGTCCAGAGGAGCTGGGTTGCTACATAACATTCCTGCGTCAAACAAATCCTTATGGCCTGCTATGGTCCTTGCAGGATGGGACCCGTTCTTCCCAGCTAGGTGCAGGGTTATTCTGACTTGGGGAACAACGGGAGGCGTGGTCATTCTAGGCCTCCTTACCTCCAATGACCGCGGAATCAGGCCTGTCCGCATTAACTAGGGGCTCTCCCTCATCTGTTGCTCCTGAACAGCAGAAAAAGGGATAACGACCGAGTCGAGAGGAAAGGAGGGCTTCTGAGAGGGGGAACCCACATTTAAAACAGAAGCACTGCAAAGGATGCGGACAGCCACGCAGAGGAGGGAGGCGAGGCTACAGAGCGGTCAGGAAGGTGCGGAGGGACAGAGCCCGGGGGCTACAGGCCGACCGCGCGTGGCCCATGCACCTGGGCGGAGGGTACGCACCTGCACCGCCGGCGAGCGGGGTGGCCTGGCGTGCAGGGGCGCCGGACCCCGAGCGCCCAGCACAGCCGGACACTGCGCTCACGTGGCCTCGGACCCTGACCCGGGCAGGGGCTGCGGGGCGTAGCGCCGCCTTCAGGGGAGCCGCTGGCCCGAAGCGCACCGCCGACAGGCAGCCGGTGAAGCCGCCTCTTCCCGCGCGGAGCGTGTTGGAGTCTGCTCCGGGGGCATCTGCAAGAGGAGGAGCGGGAGACCTTAGGGAACAGGGCCTGGGACAGGAGGACGCGCGGGCACGGAGGAGGGACAGCGTGCACCTGCACCGCGGGCATCAGGTCACCCCGCACCCTCTGCCCGTTCTCCTTGGGACCGGTGAGCAACCAGATTAAGGAGAGCGCACTGCAGCTCCCGCCTGCAAGCTCAGGGACACCAGAACGGTTCCTCTGCCACTTTTCCTTTGTTAGTTTTATTTTGTTTTGCTTGGGGTGTGGTGGAGGGCGTTCACAGCTAGCTGTGCTCGGTTCTTGGAGCCACATTCCACGGTGATCACCGTTTTTTCCTGGCTCTGTGTTCAGACATCCATCTTGGCAGAGCTGAAGAGTAATCTGGCGTTGTGCTCAGGGATTACTCCTGGGAGTTCTCAGAGATTGCTCCTGACAGTGCTCAGCGCTTACTCCTGCTACTGCTTCAAGCTTACTCCTGGTTCTGGGCTCAGGGATCAGATGAGGTCTCAGGATCAAACCTGATTGGCTGCATGCAAGCCAAGTGACTCACCTGCTACACTCCCTCTCTGGCCTTGCCACTTGGTTCTTTAAAAGTCATCATTCAAATAATTTGATCAGGACGTGTGGCCCATAATCTAGGTACTGGACAGTGAGCGTACTGTGTTTGGGGGTGACAGGACTATGGCTCCCATCCCCAGGAAAGCCAACAGGCCTGTGAACACAGAATTCAGGACTGTCCACATGGCCCAACCTCACAGTGCTTGGGCGACAGAACCTACTCTTCTCAAATCATCTGTCTTCACAGTGGATGCTGTGTTTTATTCCTGTCCCCCAGAGCATTGATAGTTCTTGGCTTACTTATATACCATATATGTATGTCTGATGTACATCACAATACAATATATGCATGTCTGATATACACCATACATACATTATATACATGTCTGACATACATCGTACATATAATATATACATTAGATTCACTGCAGAAACTTAGAGCCCCTAATCTTTGGGGGACAATTTTGCTATTGAAGTCTTTTTCCCTTTTTGCTTTGATTTTCCTTTCTTTTTGGTTTTGGGATGCTAGGGACTACCCTCAAGCCACTTTTAATGCAATGTGGGGAACCACCTCATATTAATAAATGGTATGCAATAGCTGAAGCAAAAAATAAATAAAAGCACTAATGTCTTCACTTTGTCTTCACTGTCACTGTCACTGTCCTCTACTTGTTCTCATGGATTTGCTCGAGCCGGCCCAGTAATGTCTCCATTGTGAAACTTGTTGTTACTGGTTTTGGCATATCTAATACGTCACGGATAGCTTGCCAGGCTTGGCCATGTGGGCGAGATACTCTCAGTAGCTTGCCAGGCTCTCGAGAGGGGCAGAGGAATCAAAGCCGGCTCGTCCAGTCCAGCCGCTTGCAAGGCAAACACCCTACCGCTGTGCTATCGCTCCAGCACCTTTGTCTTAGCTGTCACTGTCACTGTCCTCCCATTGTTCATTGATTTGCTCGAGCGGGCCCAGTAATGTCTCCATTTTGAAATTTGTTGTTACTGTGTTAGGCATATTGAATATGTCATGGTAGCTTGCCAGGTTTTGCTGTGCTGGCAAGATACTCTTGGTAGCTTGCCAGGCACTCTGCGAGGGGTAGAGGAATTGAACCTGGGTTTGCCAGGTTGGCCACGTGCAAGGCAAATGCCCTACCAGCTGAATTTAATTGAACATGATCATAATCAGAGGTGCCCTCATTGTCACTAAATGTACTGGATACATTGTACTGGATACATTGCTGAAGGGTGGCAGAACCCCTAAACACAGCACTTTGCCATTAGGATTATGCTGAGGTAGAGGCATTGGAAGAACAGCTGATTCGCAAAGGTTATTCAGGTCGCCTTTTTCTTCTTGATACCAGAAGATGAAACTTCTATGTGGAAACTTTGCTTCCCAAACTAGCAAGAAAGGAACATTACCACCAGAGCTGGAGATTCAAGTTCAGAATGTCTGGAGAAGCAAACTGTGTCATACAAACTCTTATCTTCTTTACAATATATTTCAGCTACTCTTTTGTAATCACTACATTTTGTTCAACTTAATATACTAACAGGTGGGCCTATCTGCTTTGCCATCTTCATTTTCCTAACGAGGAATCTAGTACACATTATTTTTTTTAAATCAAGGTAATCTATCTTATATCAATTTAATTCTCATAACAAAGAAGGAAGGAGTAAAATATTGCATACTACAAACTCACGGATTGAATTTCTTAAATCATATTATAAATGTAACATTCATTCCTATTGAACTCATCTAATTATTTCATTCTTGTTCTTGAAAGGCAAATATTTGATATCCATATTTCTTCTGACTTGGAAAATTTCATTATGTTCTGTTGTTTGAAAAAAATAATCTAACTTTAAGACACATTTAAGGCAAATGTGCTGAAAGTCAAATGGGCTTACACATTCTGTTCAGTGATAATTTTAATGTTGCAAGCATAAGTGCTGACCACGTAAAGCATCTCCAAAAACAACTAAAATTAGTGCAGGATAATGATCATATATTTCTACTATAATGATAAACATTGCTCTGAAATTTTTTTATTAAATTGATTATATTTAGATAGATTTCAAACTAACATAAAATAATTCTGGTTCAAATCAACTAAATGATTATAAATTATAATAATTCTTTAGCAATCTATTTTTAAAATTTTACATTCAGACAATACATATATTTCTTAAACAAGGACATCTTTACTGTTATAAACTTGACAGACTACCAGGAAGAAATAAATTTCAAAAATAATAGCAATACAGAAGTTTTGCAAGTCTAAAATACTAAAGAAGAGGAAGAAGAAAACCAATTAAAATCTTAGTCTCAAAAGAGAGTTTTAGGGAAAGCTTATTTTCCTGATCAAATATAGACATGAATACAACAAATGCTGAGGTAACAGAGTGAATTACTTGTCTTAATAGTATTATAGCACTGTCCTCCCTTTGTTCATCAATTTGTTCAAGCAGGCACCAGTAATGCCTCCATTTTGAGACTTGTTGTTACTGTTTTTGGCATAACAGGAAGCTTGCCAGCTCTGCTGTGCGGACAGGATACTCTTGGTAGCTTGCTAGGCTCTCCAAGAGGGATGGAGGAATCGAACCGGGGTCAGTCATGTGCAAGGAAAATGCCCTACCCGCTGTGCTATTGCTTCAGCCCACTTGTCTTAATAAATAATAATTTAGTGAAATTTACTTTTTAAAGACCACCAACCTACATTTCTGTAGGTAGTGCCGTTACTACAGGATGTTGGTTCTGCGACATATTGCATTATATTTTTCTCTATTTCAGGAATTTGTGTTTTAGACATATGAACGTTTAAGGGTTCATGTACATGGATTTACGTCAGCACAAAAAGTACCCCTGAGCTGTGAACATGCTCATGCTTACATGCATGTATGGCAACAAGTCACATCAAAAAACTTAATGTTCACAGTTTCCATCTTGAAATCAACTTTGTGGTTCTTTCTTTTCTTGCAGGGCATACCCGATAGTGCTCAGGGCTTACTACTGACTCTGTGCTCAGGGGTTACTCAGTCCTGGCAGTGTTCAGAGGACACTGAGAATTTAACTCAGGGGATTAATCTCAGGTTGGCCACATTAAACACAAGCATCTTATTATCTCTCTGGCACCTATGTTTATTTTTTGATTGGAGAAACTGTCTCCACTTTTTTCTCAGAATATAAGATTAATATTTATTCTGAACCCTACTGTTCAAAATATAGTTTTAATCATTTTAGACAAAGTATATATTCAGTGCTTGAGTAATACTTCACTCTTCCTTCTCCAGAAGAATAATTATTTAATCATTGTCTCTTTCTTTCACAAATGAAAAATTGAATGATGATTACAAAAACATTATTTGTCACTGTAACTTTATTTTATCTTATTTTATTTGTTTTTTGGGTGACACCCGGCAATGCTCAGGGGTTACTCCTGGCTTTGCACTCAGTAATCACTCCTGGTTGTGCCGGGGGACCATATGGGATGCTGGGAATCGAACCCGGGTCGACTGTGTGCAAGGCAAATGCCCTACCTGCTGTGCTATTGCTCCAGCCCCTGTCACTGTAACTTTTGTTCAGAAAATTTTGGAAATTTTTCTCTGTGATTTTTTTGAAATTTATCTGTGCTTTCAGAAATGTTTCAAGATTTGTCCCAGAAATGTGTCTTTTCTCATGAATTCATAAGTGGATTTATGTCTCTTAAATTTCTTAGCTCAAAAAAAAATGGGCCTGTAAGTATATCTAATTATTGTCTTCTAGTTTTCTTCTTAGATCTTCTATTATGCATGTTAGGTTTCTATATTTATTTCCAAATGCCTTTTTATTGTCAAACCTAATTTTTCTGATCAAAGTTGTCATTCACCAGAACCAGATCCATACAAACTCAGCATCAGAATAAATAAAGTGTTATTAAAAAATATATTGAGTATCATCCATCTTTCCTACTACTTGCCTTCTGAAAATCATCACTAAGGATCCTTCCTTTCAACTCAATTTGTTTGACTGTTTAAAGTGAAAGAAAATAAAATTAAAGTGGTGGAGGGGAGATATTAGAATTATTCATGCATTTAAAAATGTATACCTCAAGATGACAAAGGATTTGTTGTCATAATTGAATTCACCAAAACTTGAAAATACAGGCATATTAAGAAAAAAAAAGTAAATGGAGACTTTAAAACAAGGGCAAAAATAATGTGAAAAAATGTATAAAAGTAAAACACAATTTATGACAATGGCCAAAAAGAAGGTGAACAAGTAAAATGTAAATGAAATATTTTAGGATTTTTATATAGTTTAGGATGCATTCAAAGTAGTAGTAGGTAATTGAAAGTAGCATTAAGTTATTCAAGGATGCATAGTTTATTCATAGGAGTAATTGAAAAAAATTGAGGCAAAAATATAATAATAAGGAAGTTAACTGCCCTAAACTGCCCATCAAACTACCCATCAACATA